TCCCCGGGCCTGCCGTGCAGGCCCTGCCCCAGGGGCGCGCTGAGACAGCGATTGAGACTGGGCATGGTGGCACATGCCTATAATCCCAGCACTCGAGAGGCTGAACACAGGCAGATCTAGAGTCCGAGAATCCAATCTACATAGTGAGACCCTGTAGACCCTGTAGATCTTGTACTAAATACATGAAAAAAAGGTCTATTCTTCTAGCAGAGACCTGAGCATGTATTTCATCTGATAATGATGCACTGTCTACAGCCATACTATGCGGAACATACCCAATCCCATCTGATAGTGACACACCAATCAGGATTCAGAGTGATTCCCCTTAGCTTTTTTTTTGGGGGGGGGCAGGGTCTCACTATGTAGCCCAGGCTGGCCTCAAGCTCAGGCAAGCCTCATGCCACAGCTTCTCCAGTCTTTCTTGACTTCCACACTCCATCCCCGCAATCGTTCACCCCAGGCCTGCCTCCCCTATCAAAAAAAAAAAAAAAAAAAATGCTCAGTGCTACTGCTCACCCATTTGTGTTGAGATGTAGTCCTGGGCAGAGGGCTTTGTAGTTATCCAGCAGTCCCCTTTGCTCCAGGTGCTAACAGAACCCAAGGGCCATACCCTTGTGGTTCTCCGGAGCAGTACTAGGATGTCTCCACACAGCCTACAGAAACTACTACAAAATTGTGGAGACAATCTGAAGGGTGGCACGCCCAAGATGCACAGGGGACTCCCAATTTTCACAGCTGAAAGGACTCTCCCACTGCCTGCAGAGGGTGCAGCCAAGCCAAATCCTTGAGCCATACATCACCTTTGGAGGCTTGGTGCCTTCACCCTCACTCTGCTTGTCTTCTCTGTTGTACAGAGAAGCATGTCCAACTGGGCATTACACTACGGCCACTATGATTTCACTCTAGGACCCCCTCCTCTCTGTGTCCATAGGGCTGGCACCCTCCACAGTCCTGGGGAGGAAACACACCCAGGCTCCCCAGATGTTTTTAATTAACTGATAAAAAGACGCTTGCAGCTGTGCACTGTGGTATGTGCTTGTAGTTCTAGCATCCACATGGCTAAACCAGGAGACTAGGAAGTTCAAGGCCAGCCAGGGCATGAAAGCAAGATCTTGTCTCCTTAACACAAAACAAGAACTGAGTTCAGTGTCACATAATGGATTACAAATTCGAGCCCAGTCTAGGCAACTAAGCAACTTTGTGAGATCCTGTCTCAAAAAAAAAAAAAAAAAAGGAGATTAGTACAGTGTAAAGGCCCTGGATTCACTCCCCAGTATCCTAAAAGTGCCTGTCTTCTTTCTCCCACGGGTCCCAGCACTCTTGGGGACCTAGGTCCGAACTCCTAACTTTCTCCTCCCAAAAAGTTAGGTCACATTTTCTAGTCCTGCAACTCAAAGCCTAAGATTCCAAGCGGCAACCATCTCAACTCCCCTGCACCGCTCAGATCCCAGTGGCCTGCGTCGCCCCGAACTACCGACAGCTCAAGGACACGGATTCCCCTTCTGCTGGATTGTCACAGTGACTCCACCCCCCTTCACGCATACCTCCGTGACGCAAATTCAGCAACAGCCAATAAGAAGTGGTGACGTTGAATAGCGGGAGGCGGGGCTTTTAAATGGCGCGGGGCGGAAGTGGCTGTGGCATTTTGGCTTCATTCGACTACGCTGCGGTGTAGCTTCCTGCTGGACGTTTGAGGCGCCTGCCTGCGGTCCAGCTGCCGCCATGAGCCGGCCCAGCCGGCTGCAGCGGCAAATCCTGAGCCTGTATCGCGAGCTGCTGCGCGCCGGGCGCGGAAAGCCGGGCGCCGAAGCGCGAGTGCGAGCCGAGTTCCGCCAGCACGCCAGCCTCCCGCGCACGGACGTTCTGCGCATCGAGTATCTGTACCGCCGAGGGCGGCGGCAGCTCCAGCTGCTGCGTTCCGGTCACGCTACGTCCATGGGCGCCTTCGTGCGTCTGCGGAGCTCGACCGAAGAGCCCGGAGGCGGGGCGGCCCTGAGGACCCCTCTTGACGATGGGGACAGTCCACGGAACCCTCACGACGGCAAAATGACACCGGAAACCCGACCTGATGGACGATGACAAGCAGGAGAGCTCACTTGGCGACCGAGGAGTTCCCGCCTGACAGTTTGAGGAGGACCAGGAACTCATCCGATGGAATGTAAAGGTCTTGAGAGACTCACCCCACACAGTTGGGGGATGGGAAGCCCCCGTGGTGGACTGCGAGTGATCTTTCCTGTGTATGGTGACAGGTCAGACCCCGCCCTTCTTCCACTAGGAGGGCTTAGAGCAGCCTGGGAGTCCCGCAGGCTGGACAGTGTCATCCTGAGATCTGTTTTACCAAAAAGCACGAGGAGCTCAGATCACCCCTCCACCATGGCCCAAGCTAGCCTGAGACCCTTGATCTCTGAGAACACACCAATCGCGGATCCTCAAACGGACTGGTCTTTGCTGTGTTTTAACTCTGAGAAGCGCAGACTTTATGAATAGTGAGAGGCTTGCAATCCCCATTGGGAACTCCCCTCATCCTTTTGGCAAATCAGGACCATGAGGAGTGGATTAGGAGCCTGTCACCCCAGCTGATCAACTAAACTCCCTACTTCATGACCTCGAAGGGATAGCCCAGACTCCTGAGCTACCCCCTCCAGACTGTTGAGCAAAGGGAATAAAATCGGGGCCGTGCTTATTTCCCTGTTGATGGTCTTAAAGATTTTATGTATTTGAGGATTTTTGAAAACAAACATATAGACACACAAAGGAGTGGCCCTCTAAGTGGTGATGGATGTAGGGAGCTGTCTTTTTTGCTCTGGAGCCCTTTCTTGGGCAGATCAGTGGAGAAGACCCCACCCTAGCGTCAATCCAGAGACCCTGCCTGATTGCTTATTGGAAAGAAATGAGGTAGGAGACGAACTCTCCACCTTCTCCAAACCTGATAGGAATTTCAGCCTCAGCTACAAGCTGAGAGTTTTTATCAATAAGGCCCTGGGGCTTGTGGGCCCAAAGATGGACCTGTAGACTATAGGCATACCCTTTCCACATCCCCATATGAATCCTCTCTGGTCGTCACCAGGGTACCACATTTTGTAACTCTGAGCTACCCTTAGCTGTATGTGCACCCTCGTTAGTAAAGTACATGGGAAATAAATCCTTGCAGACAGAATTTGGAGGAGGAAAGGAGCCTAGACCTTGGACTGAAGGAAGGACAGACAGAAGAAAAACACACTCACTACCCTAATCCCAATAAAGGAGCCAGGTACCCAAGGAGTTAGAAAGTAGCCTTGCACTTTGAAATAGGAGTTCTCAGGAAGGTAAGGAATAGACTTCCAAGCAGTGTAAGTAAATGCCTGAAGCAGGGGAATGAAATGCAAGGTCCCATTTGGGGGCCCGAGGACTCTGGGCCCAAGGCTGTGGCACTACTTGAATGTGATGTCTTTTCAGCTTTGTCTCTAGGTAGTCCCCACCATAGACTTCAGCTACTTTTCTGTCTTTGCCTGCTTTTTTCATCAAGGTGATCCTGGTTTTTGTCATTGGTTGGCCCTGTTAACCCTGCCCTGCCTCCACCATCTTAAAGCCAAAGTCTTGAAAGTGGCAAACAGGGCCCATCCAGCCACATTGTCTCCCAACTTCATCTCCCACTATTCCCTCACTCCTGGCTCCATGATCTTGTGCACTAATAAGCTCTAAGATGGGAGTGTTGCAGGCAGTGAGCAAGTGGGGAGGGGGGACATTTGCTCCAATGTTACAGAGGAATAGGGTTTGCCAGTAGAGAGCAAGGATGGGGGAGGGAATGCCTGCTCTGGGGAGGTGTGCAGGTGAATGATGATTAGAGTCATGGGCCGCTGAACTGGAGTGCCAGGTGAGGCTCCCAGTTTAGTACCTGCTGATTGTATGATGATGGGCAAGTAACCTCCCTGTGCCTCAGTGCAGTTACCAATGAAGTGGGTGTCACAATAATGCCCCATTGTGGCTATTAAAATGGTCCAGTGAATCAGCTACACATTGTGGCACCAAATGACACTCCCCCACCATGGCCCTCCTGCCCACTTGAGTTCTATTTTAGCCACAGAAGCTGAAACCACAGAGTGGTTATCACTCCGTGAATACTTCTATGGACCTTCCCTGCCCTCACTCCCTACTAGTAGCTCCTGGGATCACCTCCCAGATAAACCTCACCTGCGTCTAGCTGGGCCCAGCCTGTGCTTCTGGGTAAAGCATGGGAACATTGCACAGGACTTGACAGATTTGTGTGACTTTCTGCTGCTCTGTTCTTTCACCCTGCTAAAACCCATGGTCAGTATTTCTCAACAACTTGTACTTGCCTATTAAATGAGAACTGCAGGGCCGGCCAAACAGCTCAGTGGATTAAAGTGCCTGCTTACCAGACAGTGGCCAGGGTTCAAACCCAGTGATCCGTGCCTGTCCCACCCCCAGGGCATGCTGAGAAGGTGATTGAGACTGGCTGTGGTGGCATGTGCCTGTAATCCCAGCTTTTGGGAGGCTGAATACAGGAGGATCACTATGAGTCTGATCTACAAAGTGAGACCCTGTAGACCCTATACTGAAGAAAAAAAAAAAAAAAAGAACCGCAAGTGGATGTGGAGTTTCCAGTAAAACTAGCACTTGGGAGGCTGAGGCAGAAAGATCACAAGTTCAAGTGCAGCCTAGGGATTTAGCAAGACCCTGTCTCAAAATTAAATTAAAAGTTCAGGCAAGTGTGTTATATGCCTGTAATCCCAGGACTCCGGAGACCAAGGCAGGAGGGTAGCATGTTCAAGAGCAGCCTGGAGAACCTAGCAAATTAAAGACCAAACCGGAATACATAGCAAAATGTTAACAATGGTGACTCTGGTATATGGGAATTTATGTAATAGTCTCAAAAACAGATCTAAGAAAATTGCTTTAAAGTACATAGATGAACTTGGGAGGCTGTAAACAGAAGGATCACTGTGAATCCGATCTATGCAATGAGACTCTGTACATCCTGGCCTAAATACAAAACAAACAAACAAACAAAAAACCCCACCAAGTACATCGATGAATTGGAGTAAACATTTTTTTTTTGTTTTGTTTTGCTTTTGTGATGCTATTAATCATTGAATTCAGGGCCTTAACACATACTAGGCAAGAGCTCTACTATACAGCTATACTCCCAACCTTAGGATTGGAGTAGGAGTAATGTGGAATATGAAATGTGATTTAACAATAAAAATTGATTGGGCGAGCAAGATAGGTCAGTGGACTAAGCACCTGCTTAGGCAAGTGCAGGAACTGGGGTTAGATCCCGAAACCACATGCTACGCTGGCCCTGCCCCCAGGCGTGGTGGCAATGCCTATAATCCCAGCGCTGGGGAGGCTGAAAGCAGGATCACTACTATGAGTCTGAGCAGTGTAGTGAGACCCTGTACCAAAAATAATGATGATGATGATGATTGCCCAGCATGGTGATGCATGCCTGTAATCCCAGCACTTGGGAGGATGAAGCAGGAGGATTGCTGTTTGAGGCCAACCTGAGCTATAGAGTAAAATCAAGGTTAGCCTGGACTACAGTGAAACCTTGTCTAAAAAAAAAAAAAAAAAAAAAAGAATTGAGTGATTTCTTGGTTTATTGTTTGTTTGTTTGTTTTTGGCGGAACCGGGGATTGAACTCAGATCCTTGCGTTTGCCAGTCAAGCACTTATCCTACTGAGCCATCTCCCAGGCCCTCCTTGGTTTGTTTTTGTTACTGGTTTATTTTTTGAAGCAGGGACTCACTGTGTAGCTGAGGCTGGCCTTGAACTAACTATGTAACTGACTTCAAACTCATGACAGTCCTCCTGGCTGAGCCTCCTGAGTGTTGGATTCCAGGCATGTACCACCACACATTTCCTGATTTTTATAACTATTCTAATTGTACAAGAAAATGCCCTTGTTTGGGTTTGTTCTGTTTGTGGTTCTGGGAGTGAAAGTCAGGGATTCACACTTGTAAGCACTGTACCTGAGCTACACACCCAGCTCACCTAATTTTAAGACAAACTGACCGAAGTATTTGGGAGCAAAGAGGCTGGGGAGATAGCTCAGCAGGCATAAGAAGCTGCCTGGTAAACATAAGGTACTGAGTTTAATCCCTGGTACAAAAAAAAAAAAAAAA